CAGAATGTCAAAGATAAATTTCTCCAGAGTGTAAAAACTTTGGAACTCATTACGTCACATGAGAGCTTTGCTGAGTTAACTCATAAAAAGGGCTGAGCTGTGAATAAAATATTGTCCTCAAAGTAATGTCAGAGTTCATGTTTACTACTTCCTCAATAATCAAGAGTGCAAATATACCTTAAAATGTTGGAGGAAGAATTGCTTTGTCTCTTTTAAAAATGTTCTGTGATGCCTAAAAATGTTTTAAATAAATCTGAAAAGGGCATAATAACTTTAGAAAGGAAAATAAAATACAAAAACATAAGAGAAAATGTAGTGTTATCCTTCCACATCCCCCAATTCCTACATTATGTATCTTCTGTATTGTTTCTCTCAAGATATCTCATCTCTAGTAGCTGTTATAGTAGGTAAAATGCCTATACTTCTCAGATCTTTAAAAGGAGAGCCAACTTGACAGGCGTATGTAGTCATGTGATCTACAGGGCAGAAAGGCATCCCTCAAAGTTAGCTAAACCTATGCTGGGCTTCTGTAGTTTTTATAATACCACATGAAGATCAGAAGGGGAGAAAAACTCTTATAAGACATCCGGCCTAGGTCCTGCTATCAAAGAGAAATTATAATACTCCTAAGAATGATGCATCTTTGAGGAAATAATTTTACTGGCAAGTAAGGCAGATTTCTCAAAAGATCAAGGACTATGCTTACATGTGGAAGACTTAGTCCAAATTCTCATTCAATAAAACAGCACCCTTGACCTACGAAGCACCTAAATTCAGGTGGCATCCAGTCAGAACAGCTAGAAGTCAGCACCAGGAGTTCTGATAAGGTAAGGAAGTCTGCTAAACGTTCTATTCAATAGTGGTGTATGCAGATATTCCAAATTCAGGTTGAGAGTAAGTCTAGATTCCACAAAGACTGCCACAGATAAGAGAGAAGCAGCCAAGCAGTGGAAGTTCAATAGGTTGATCATACTCAGAGTCAATATGTCCACTCAAGGACTAGTGGGCAGATGTGGTGTGATCAAATTATGCAGTAAATGTGTAAGTTAAAAAAAACCTGGGAACGGGGATTTAGCTCAGTGGTTTCACCACCTGCTGTGCAAGCACAAGGACCCAAGTTCGATCCCCGGTACCTAAAAAAAACTGTTACAGGGTGGGGATTTAGCTCAGCGGTGCTGCCACCTGGCTTGCAAATGCAAGGTTCCGAGTTTGATCCCCAGTACCAATAAAAAAAAAACCTCTTACAGTATAAAAGACATTTTGCCATTATTCCCCCTCAAAATACTCGTTCTTGCTTTGAACACATCCAATTGTTCTTGCCACTTTCTTCAGCACTTCTGCAAGTCCTCTTTCAGGTCTTTATGAGGTGTGATAAAAAATATGGTGAATGCTGCTGCTACTAAGTGCCATCCAACAGAAAAGCAAGCTTGTAAAAACATCATGTGTCCTCAACCACTTTATTCACTAGATCTGGGACCATGTAACTTCTGGCTCTTTCTCAAAGTCAAACTGATCATGAAAGGTAAATGTTTTGAATTAAGAACATCAATGCAGCCACAACAGCAGGACTAAAGACATTCATGAAAAAGGATATCCAAAGCTGCTTCAGAAAGTGGCAAGAATAATTGTGTTTAAAGCGAAGAAGAATATGGTGTGTGTGTGGGGGAGGGGGGTAATGGCAATGTGTCTTACTGTAATGAAATATTTTTAAATATTCACCATATGTTTCAGTCACACCTTGTACAAGTTGACATGCTAAGTGCAGAGATCAATATATTTGTGTAGACAGAATGGAGTTTGGAGACAGAAATCAGACAGTGAAATCAAAAGCTAAGCAATCCGAACCAAAAGTTCAAAGAAGTTTATGGTTATCCCTCATTTCTTGACTCCGTAGCATACACTCCAATTTTCTTAAGGTTCCTAACCCTTTGTCCTGAGTTGGAACAGCACCTCCTAAAAGATATATTGTAGTACTAAACTCAGGTACTTGTAAATATAACCTTAAAATAGTCTATCCAGTTAGGCAAAATCCAATCCCATAAGTTCTTTAGAAGCAGAGTGTTTTCTCCCGTAAGTAGCAGAAGACAAGGTCAGGAAGACTAGAATCATAAATATGACTCAAGATAGGGATCTTGCTATCAACCATGAAAGAGTAAGCTTCGATATTGTGTAAAAGCCTGTAAGAAGGCCCATGGTAAGGAACTGTGTGTATTCTCTAGGAGCTGAGAGTATCCCGATTGACAGGAAAAGCAATGGGACATCAGTCTTACAACCACAAAGAATGGATTCTGCCAACAACCAGAAGCTTAGAAAAGGAAACTTGAGGGCCAGGGATTTAGCTCAATGATTCCGCCTCCTGCCTCGCAAGCAGAAGGACCCAAGTTCAATCCCCAGTACCAAAAAAAAGAAAGAAAGAAAAGGAAACTTGTCCACAGCCCAGCCCACCCAATACCATGATCTCAGCCTTGTAAGACATTAAATAAAAAACTGAGCTACATTCCTCCAGACTTGGGATCTAAAGAAGTATGAGGTAATAAATGTGTATTGGTTTTAAGCCATTAGGTTGTAGTAATTTGCTATGCAGCAATGAAAAACAGGTATGAGGATACTAACATTTGTTCTATTTTATGTGATTGTTATGAAGCTCAAATAAAATGCACAGGAAAGTTTTCTCTAAATCATATTACATAAAGTTATCATTATCACCTAGTTAATATGTCTAAAACACAAATCATTTTTCTCAACTCCTCACACATAGATTCATTTTCTTTATTTTCCTTTCTACAGTGGTACCACTATTATAGATTTATTTTATTTTTTATTTTTTTGGTACTGGGGATCGAACTCGGGTCCTTGTGCTTGCGGGGCAGGTGGCAGAACCACTGAGCTAAATCCCCGGCCCTATAGGTTTATTTTATTGTATTATGGATTGGGGAACTGTGACATACAGGCACACTGGTGCCTTCCTAGGGTAAGACCTAAGTGATGGAATGTGTGTGTATAAAGAAAGAAAACAGTTATCAAAGGCAAAGGTTCATAAATGAGATGATATAGATACTTACCTGTAAGACTACAGAATAGGTATAACAGTACCTTGCAATGTTAAAGAGAAAATTTTTGTGAGAATAATTATACCACATTTAGCTTATGGACATAGATAATTTACTATAAACAGTGTTGTTAACCATTTCTAGGTTTATTTGGGGTGTTTTGGCTAGAGAGTGAGGGGGATTCAAAACTTTCCAGATTTGTTTTGTCTTTTTATATGGTGAGTAGTACATAAAAGTATGCAAGTAATATGTTTCCTGTGATAAAAAAACAATTATACAAAGAAATAGTAATAATATATAACCAATCCTACCTTCCTGAGAAAACCAATTAATAGAGTAGTGGACACCTTTCTATGCTGAAAGTACAAACAGGTTCCTTCCATTAAAAAAAAAGAAAACCTGGAGTCATGTTCTTCATAATTGCATAACTTCCTTTTTAAACATTTTATAGTGTTTTTTGGGCATTTCTCCTAGTCATTTTAGTATATATCACAATCTCCTTAACAGAAACAGAATTTACACTTTGGACTAACACATTTTTCTTAACCAAACTACTTAGATTGCTTCACATATTATTATAAATAATGTGCATTCTTTTTTTGTATATTTGCACACATGCTACATTATTTCCTTAGACTAAATTCCTAGGAATAAAATTACTGGGTCAGTAAATACATGAAGATTTAAAAATCTCTTGCACATTCTTCCAGTAACTTCATAGTTAAAAAAAAAAAAAAAAAGAGGGCGGGGGATTTAGCTCAGTGGCACAGCACCTGCCTGGCAAGCATGATGTCCTGAGTAGATTCCCGGTAGCAAAGAAAGACAGAAAGAAAGACAGACAGACTAACTTCGTTAATTTTGAGAGGTTAGCCAGTTGGACTAACTCTAATTTTTGAATAATTTAATGTCACTTACGTAGAATATTTTTTTACTGATCTACCTTCATATATTTGGCTTTCCTGGTAGCAGTGCTATCTATCATTAATATAGCTTCATGATACATGGCACTGTGGAGGAATGGGCCTTCTCATTAAGTTTGTCTTACACCTTCTCAGACATTTATTCTTTTTTTTTGTACTGGGGATCAAACTCAGGACCTTGAGATAGTGAGGTGGCGCCGGAATCACTGAGCTAAATCCCCGGCCCCAAAAAACATTTATTCTCTTTTTTTGTTTGTTTTGGTACCGGGGATTGAACTCGGGTCCTTGCGCTTGCACAGCAGGTGAAACCACTGAGCTAAATCCCCGGCTACCCCCAGACATTTATTCTTATAGATCAAATATGGAATCATTTTGTTAAGTTTCTCCAAAGAAGTGTTGAAAATTTATTAAATGTAGAGAATAAATTGGATGGATCTGACATTTCTATGAAATTTGTTTTCTCCATGCAAGCTACACCTTTTAGTTTTTCAGTAAAGTTTTATATTTTCTTTTTTTGGTACCAGGGATTGAACTCAGGACCTTGTGTTTGCGAGGCAGGAGGCGGAACCACTGAGCTAAATTCCCGGCCCTATATTTTCTCTATATAGGTTTTACTCATTTCCGCTTATGTTTATTTCTAAATATTTTATATATTTTCCATCAATTTTTTAATTGGTTGCTGCTCAAATATAAAAAAAATCTAATAAATATTTGTATTATACTCAAATCTTACATAATATAAAGATTATATATAAAACATAGTTTGTGTATTATAGTATTTGTGTATTTATGTTGTAGCTGGCTCTTTAATCAAACTTTTTTATTATTCATTTGTTTCATATTTCATTCTCTTATTGTAGATAACAATCACCTAAAAATTATTTTGCTTCTTGTAAATATTTAAATAGCTTGCTTTTTTTGCTGTTGTACTAACTAGACCTACCAGAACAATGCTGAGTAATAAAAATCTACCCTTTAAATAGTTTAACACTGTAATATACTTTCAGCTAAGACATACAGATCTACCCACCATTACCGTTCTTGATGTTAGGGAAAACAAGATGTGTAGGTGAATTTCTATTTTCAGCAGCTTCCTTCTTCTGGCTAACAGATGAAACAACACTGCTCAAAGTGGAAATCTGCCCTTTGGCTCCTTTGTCCAAACCCTAAAAGCAAAAAAAGTTAAAATTGTAGCATCATTCCTATTACCTATAAATAAGCTTTTCTATTGGAAGAATCAAAACCACTAATAATAGAGATCTAAAGTTGATGGCAGATAGAAATATGATAGATAAAACTGATGTATATTCTTACCTTTGCTAGGACTAAATTATCTTAAGTGTGAAAGTCATATCATCATCAACTGCTTACAAACTAATAAAGCTTAAGAAAGAAATAATAGCACCTATCTCATAGAATTGTGTTAAAACAATAATACATATAAAATAATAAGAACTGCTCCTTTTATACATCTTTAATGTTAACTGCTATTTTAGTAATTAGATACTTTACAAGTTGATTCACTGAAAGTTTTTCTTTGATACAAATTTGATACAATTTTAAAAGTTCAGGTAAGAAGACAACCCCTTTAGAGTTTATTTTTTCTAAGTACTGATCGCATTTTGGGTGTACCAGGATTAGAAAACAGGTTCTAAGGAATCCTTAGGCAGAGATCACAGAGCTCTGTAATTCAGCCTTACAGGGGCTTTTTGGAGATGGCTGGATCTAGGGTTGCTGCTGCTGGGATCAAACACATGATGCTGGGATTGACTGATGCTAGGATTAAGGGTGTGCATGCTACCTATCCTAAGGGGAGGCAGCCTAGATAAAATATAAGGGACAGAAAGAGCTGCTGGGTTCGTCCCTTGTCGCTGGTTGCTTGGTGTCTTCTGCCTTCTGCCTGCCATGAACTATTTCTTCTCTGCAATGCTCCTCTGCCATGTCACCCTGACTTGGAGCCAGCCACTTATGTACTGAAACCTTTATAAGCTGTGAGCCAAAATAAACCTTTCCTTCTTTAACTTTGGGTATTGGGTATTTTGTCTCAGCAGTGAGCAAAGTACAGTAACTAAGACACCAGTCATCTCTTGATGGACATATAAGCTGCTTCCAAGATTTAGCTATTATGTATTGTGCATGTGTCACCATAATACGATGCCTTTAACTCTTTCAGGAAGAAAGCTGGAAGAGGAACAGTGTCAAATGGAATTTTCTGTTTTTAGTTTTCTGAGGAATCTCCGTCCTGATTTCTGGCTATTACTTCCTACTTTTATAGATGTAGGCTGAATGGCTTTAGAAACAACTCATTAAGCAGAGGAAATCAATGTACGAAAACTAAGTGTACTTCAGGGAAACCTCTGATGTCCCAATCTAGGAAAGATTCAATGGTTTCTTTTCTTTCCCTCTCCCTTCTTACACCTTGTCTTAATAAAAGGTTCCCAAAAAACATTGTTTAGTTCACTTATGAGATCTCTGAACAATAAAAAAAGTAACTAATTCACTTAATAGTTACCCAGCAACTATCAGTTCTAATCTCTAGATTTATATACAATATAGATTCCCAATGGTATAAGAAAACTGAAAAGAGATAAGACAGTGATACTGCCTGAATTTCAGAAAAATCACTCTGGTAGCAATCTGGGGAATAGACTACAAGGGAGTAACACTGAAAATCAACCACCTCTACTGCAAGAAATGAAGTCTCAACTGAGACACTACTAACAAGGAATGAAGAATGGCAGCCTGGGCTGAGCAAGGACAAAATGCCAACAGCTGCTGTATTTCAGGTCTCAGTTTGAAGCACAAAGAGAATGAGAGACTATCTCATAAATTATAAAATAGATGAAATTATAAATTATAAAATTTGTTATTTCAAATTTCAGGAGAATAGACATATTTTGGCACCGCACTATAAAGAAGATATATTTGAAGAAAATTCTAGAGGCTATATGAACATGTGATTTATGAGTAACTAGAAAAGGAACCAATGTTCACTAGCCAAAAGCATGCTCTTCATGACAAAATAATTGAAACAGAAAACTAATATAAAGAAAAAACCATATGATGTGAGATGACAAAGGAGACAAGAAATAAATGGTCAAAGAGTTAAGAAATCTATAAGGGCAGGGACTTAGCTCAGTGGCGCCCCACCTGCCTTGCAAGTGCAAGGTCCTAAGTTCGATCCCCAGTACTGGGAAAAAAAAAAAAGAAAAAAAATCTAGGAGGTTTTTCTTGTATGAGAAACCCAAAATACAAATAAAGAGCAAAATAAAAGATAATAGGAAGTAGGGAGATGGGTCTTTCTCAAATGAGAATGGGCCCAAGAGATACAGGAAGGAGGGAGGAAGGAGAAGGGAAGGGGATGAAAAAAAGTTAAGATGTGTTATGTACCAACTTCCTACTAGGAATGTAATCATTATATACTGAAAACATGTACTTATAAAAAACAATACTGGGCTGGGGATTTAGCTCAGTGGTTCCGCCACCTACCCCACAAGCGCAAGGACCCGAGTTCGATCCCCGCTACAAAAAAAAAAAGAAACAATACTAAGGAAAGATAAGGTTTCAAGAAAAATGTTGTCAATAATCAAATGATGCTAAATAATGAAGAATGGTTATGCCTACAGCATGTCTATCCTAATGAGCAACTAACTATGAAATCTTGGAGACAATGGAAATCATTGATTGTGGGGAATGGTGGTGGCAGAGACCACAAGACTAACGAATGGGAAGTTAAGTAATGAAGGCAATGAGCAGAGACCATTCAGAAGCCTTGCTGAAGGAGAATAGGACTATGGCAGAATAAGAACTAAGGTCTGAAGGAAGACATATTAGGCATAGTATCATAGCTGCCAAATCCAATGCTCCCTTCTATTTAAATTGCCCTAAATGGGGTGCCCCATTTGGGGCAATTACTGTTATTCTTTGTTCAGGAATGACTATGGGTTGGAGCAGGGATAGGCACTTAACCAAAAGGCAGCCCATCTGTAGGTGGGGTGGCCTGGTGTGAAGAGCATTGATATTTCCTAATATGTCAATCAAAGGAGATCATTTCAGATTTTAAATGGAGGAACATAAAAAACACTAAGAGTGAGAGAATAGCACAAGCACAGAAAACAGTTTCTGTTCCTGTTTCCTTTCTGGTTCTAATCTATGTGTATCATTCCAATAAATTTCTTTTGATAAAAGGAGGCATAAGTGGACTAATTTGTGTTTCTTATAATCAAAAAAGCTTAAACAACATGAAAAATTCCTTGGTCTAATAAGTCTGCTGCTTGTAAAATGACACTGTTCTTCACACTTTATACTTAAGATGACATGAAATTAATCATGGACATTTTCTTTTATTGATAGGTTAATAAAAGCTAATTTTCTGGTTTTCAATCTGTTTATATGAAAATTAGCTTTACAAAGTCTTATAAGATAAATAAATGAATCTGATGCTGGAAAATTAAAAGCGGGTGGAGGGAAAGGGAAAAAAAGAATTGAAATGTGTTATGTACATACACCAATTCTCTACAGTGAATGTAATCATTATGTACTGCAAACCTGTACCAAGTAAAAAAACAAAAAAAACAGTAGTTGCCTCAGATCAACTTATACAAGACACATCTTACACATAATCTAAGGCTTTCATGATGAAAAAAAACTCAGGGTAATATGTTGTGCAAGGGTAAACTGATTAAGAATTAGTGAATAAAATCAAGACGCTATTAGGTATTAATATATCAAACTTCAGACCAAATTAAAGGTTGGAGAACATTACAAGTCTTCTGAAACTTAGACCTACCACAGATATTACATATAGTTTTCTGAGGAGTTTGGGAATTGTTATCTGTGAATCCTACAGAAGAAGAACATTAGAGATGAAGTCTTGGAATGTGGCCAACCTACAAACAGTGGGTTGGATGTGTTGAAGAACAGATAGTAGGAGGATACCCAACCAGATGTTATGAATTGAAGATAAATACACATAGAGAAGGGGAGAGATGAAATACTGATTTCACTGAGGGAAAAAATATTCAAATGGCTTAAACCTGATATAAAGAATAATAGACTTGACTGTAGGCAGAGGGAGACTATGATTTTGCCACACTAATCAAAAATTATATTTTACTGGGGCCGGGGATTTAGCTTAGTGTTTCCGACACCTGCCTCACAAGCGCAAGGTCCTGAGTTCAATACCCAGTACCAAAAAAAAAAAAAAAAGTTACATTTTACTAGTGCCTAACATGGACCTCACACAGTAATCTTTTTGACTTTATGATCAAATAATAACATAAAATAATCTCAAGAAATTTAAATACTTAAGAGTACCTGTTTTGCTCTGATTAAAATATAATCAAATATTTTCAATTGTATTTTACAGTTTATTTGAATACATGAGTTCTTACTTTTAACCTTTACTGAGGAACTACATCAGAGTTGACTTTCTAATTTCTTTATCATATTTGTCTATCAGATTCCATTAAGAATATGCAGTTTTCTATTATCACTTTTGTATGAATATTATTTTGTTATATTCAAAATTGTAGTAAAATTTATTTCTTCCAAAAGCTGCTTTAGAAAACAAACATTTTTTGTTTATATTCTAACCCAATACTTGATATAAGAATAAATGCTGGCACTATTCCATCACAAAACACTAAAACCATACTACCTCACTATCATAGGTCTCTGAATTTCTGTGTCCATCTCAATAAATCCAAGGACTATCTATAATGGATACAAAAGCTACTTTCAAAAGATTAAGCAGCTTCCTAAGATACTCAATCAAATTATGTCAAAAGCCTGGTGAGGGGCCGGGGATTTAGCTCAGTGGTTTCCCCGCCTGTTGCGCAAGCTCAAGGACTCAAGTTCAATCCCCTGTACCAAAAAGCAAAACAAAACAAAAAGCCTGGTGAACAAGCGCACATCGATATGTTTTAAGTTAAAATTTAAAAAAATTAAGATACCTTGCTTTGCCACATTTCAAATAAATTTACCTAAATTACCAGTCAGGGCTGTTTATTTTAAGTCTTGTTACCAAGTGAAGATTTTCTTTTTTATATATATATTTTTTCACAGTTTCCTATTAGGATGCTGGGTCATAAAATCAGACATGCTAACTTTATATCCTTCTATTAAGACGTGAAAAGTCTGCTACTTTCAAGTGTGAACTTCCCTC